ATGGGACGTTCCGCGGAGCTGGGTGGCCCAGACAATGGTGTTCCTGCAGAGCTGGCACCACCAGCTGATGCTGTAGGCATTGATGCGGCTGGACTGTCGATTCCCGTTGCAGTCGATTCGTTATTGTTGTTGCTGCTATTATTGTTATTGATATTATTATTATTATTGTGGTTGCTGTTTGTATTCTTTTTGGCCGACTCGCTGCCACTTCCGGTTGAGTTGCGGGTGCGCAGGCGTCGCGCCGGTGTTACGGTGCCATTGGAGTTGCTATTGGCGCTTCCAGTGCCGCCGCCACTGGCGGCTAGACTGTCCGCCTCAGCTTTGGCGGACATGGGGACTTTATGGGGTCTCGAAATAGACTGCTGCAACGGCTGCTGGACCTTGTTCAGCTCTGAAAATGAGTTTGGAAAAACATCGCTTAGTCCACAATTAACAATTGATGATGAGAAATTTGTTGTTTGTTAATATGGATTTATTTTTTCCATAAACGCGTCTATTAAGTTCTATGTACTTGCTGTTCGCTCAAAATCCCATTTATTAGTAAACTTCCGTTTACATTACGTTTCGTTACTAGCATACATATTTATTTATTATGCTGTCTTTTTTTTTATTTGTATGTTTGGGGTTGAACAATCCACAATCTCAATAAACATGGCCATTTTCTAGTTTTCGGCCTGACTGCCAAGTGTGACCAGCAGAGGAACACCGTTCACAGTTACAAGTGTGTGCCTCTGCGTATGTATGATTTGTGTGTGTTTGTGCAACACTGTTCAACACTGTGCCAAGAACAGCCAGTCAACCTTTTTTCATATGTTTAAACGCATGAACGAAGGCAAGTGAAAAGTTGTAATTGTAATAGAGTGTATATATACACACATATATATATAAGTGTGTAAGAGAGAGGGAGAGAAATTTACAGACACACACACACACGCGCGTATATACACCGAATCACGCACAACCCCTCTCGAACTAGCAGTCAGGTAAACAAAAACAGTAAACGGCATTTATAGAATTAGTGTACGTGAGAGCGTCGCTCGCCGTTTAAACGAGGGGTTGTGTGGCATTAAAATCGGAGACTATTCTTCAAACGTACCTATACTCATACAGAAATATATATACATACATACAGAAAACATACGCACACTTGCAAGCAATTGCACTGCCTGCAATCACATCTGTATGTGGCCCAGTTCGTTCTGATGCTTGATTACATTATCAGTCAACACTTTTCAAGTTGATAAAAATAAAAGAATAAAAATTGCAATTCAAAATGCATTTGTGTATATTGTGACCACTTCAAGTGCCTCACTGACCATAAGAGAGATCAAAATCAAAGAACCGCATATTAAGTATTGGGCTAGAAATGCAAAGTAGTTAACTTTTCATTATTTATTTATTTTTTCCATTTACAATTTATTTATTTTTATTATTATTATTATTTTTCCGACATGGAAAATTTTAAGTGAATGTTCTCAGTGCTCATAAAACTAGAAAATAAATAAAGTCTAACAAATTCTATTTAAACATAATTAACGAAGCAATACATTTTGTGGAGCAAAAGTTTCATCAAGATAACATTGACTAAACGATAAGTAAAGAAAATTTCATATTATAGAAAACTTTTTTTTTGAATTATGTAGGAACACACACACACACCTGTGCAGTGTTTCCCACTGTTTGACCGGGTGGAAGGCAAAGCGCAAATAAATGGCACACACAGCCCCACATAAATGACAAACAAACAAAACTCGTCTACGTGATCAAAGAACGCCTATCGCCAACTTTGGGTCCAAGGGGTGGGGGTGGCTTTAAACTAACGACGGTCTGTTGTGAGAGAGAGAGAGAGAGTGACACAGAGAGAGGTAAAGAGAGTAAGCACTGAGCGAAACGAATGTGAGAGTGGGAGTTAACACGGATGCAGCGCTGTGTTGCAGTGTTGGTAACGCACCAACAACATTTCGCATGTTATGTTTTTATTTTGCAATTTTGTTTTGTTCACTAACACAAACATACAAGCACAATACACAGCAATGCCAACAGGAGTGCTTTTTTCTTCTTTACTTTCCATAACACATCAATTGTGTGTATATATGGCGCATACCAAAATCGAGCAACAGGAAAAAATGAATTTGTTGCATAGAAAAATGGAGCGCACAAAACTTACATACATTCCAATATGTACATCTACATTATTTATGCACAAATATATGAATGTATGTAGGTACATTCATACACGCACACATTATTTATGTGTATATGTATAATATAACGACCGACAGCAACAAAACTTACACATTTAATATGTACCTATGTATGTATGACTGTTTAAATACATACATGTTTATATATGTACATACATTTGTGTGTGTAATTCTAAAAACATTTGTTCTGCGGAGCGCTCGCATACGAAACGTTAGTTTACCTGGTACTGCAGCTGGAAAAGCTCTTACTTTCCAGCATTAATTGCGTATTTCCAGGCAAAACTACTCAGCCACATGCCAAATGTTTATATTTATTGAAATGCTTAAAGAAGCCATATTGAAAAACGTCGTTGTCGGCATCGACGCCGGCAGCGATGTTAAAGTTCCGGTTGAGGCTTTTTTTCTTTTTTGCAGCAGCAGCAGCGTCCAAATAGACAAAAGGAAGCCGCGGCAGTATTCGCTGAGCAAAAAGCTTTGCCTTTGGTGGTTGTTGTTACAATTTACACACACACACAACACAAAAAGTGGGGCGACGCCGCCACCACCAACCCAATCTAAAGGAACAACAATGTCAATGAAGAGCCCAAGGGAGTAACTGAGTGAGCGAACAAATTTTGAGTATGAGTGTAGTTCTTTGATCACAGCGGACAGGCAGACGACAGACACACAGATGGGCAGCCAGACTCAATCTCTCCATGTGAGAGCAATGAGAGTACCGTTTTCCGTGTACATACATACGTACATATGTAAGAATTGATGATGACACGGATAGCGGCGTGAGTGGGTATGCTTTGAGTGTTTGTTTTTAAATATTTTCCTTTTTTGATGTATTTAGACACAAAGTTTTTGCTTTAATTGACGTTTGCAAATTATTGATTGGTAAAATGTGAACGCTGCGGGCTTGCCAACGATGAGAATTTCACAGTCTTGACAAAGTTGGCAACGTTTTTCGTCAACCTATGTTGCCATATTGATCGTTAGGTTAGTGTATGCATGTATGTGAGTTTGAGTTTTGGTGGAAATAATCAAAGCCTAAGAGCCGCATGCTGTTTTAATCTAAAGCGCCTCACGCACACAAAAAGGGGTTTATATAATTTCCATTTTCAGTCGAACACAAACACATATACGCAAACTTACTTACACTTACACACACACACGCACACATTCACAAGTGCGCACAGGTATACAATATACGTATAGAAACACACAATAGCATTTCTCTATACACACATAAATATGTATGTATATACGTATGCTAGTATATCTCGTATGCTTAGCGAAATTAACACTGAACGTCGTTTTACTTTGTCAAATTCAATTGATTTAATGTACTTTGGTTTAGCTGCATCTGCGCTAAAAAACTGTTTTCCGTTGCCAACCAAGCCCAGTAACAACAGCAGAAACAGCAGCAACAACATCAGCCATGTCTACTACAAAAATAGTAAGCAGTTAACAAACGTAGACGTTGACGTTGACGTCGCCGTCGACGTTGTGATTTTTACGCACTGTCCACCATATTGCACATTGAAATGTTTTATGTTTGTATGTATGTATAATATATGTATGCTTGAGCATACATCGACGTGTGTATGTGTGTGTAAATGCAACACTGTACTTTTTTTTAAATGAAATTTTACACTTTGCATAATTATTTGAGTGGCCTGTAATTGAAATTGATATTCAAGCGTGGGATCACAATATTTGTAGGGATTAACTGCGCTAGACACACACACACACGCACAGGAGGCAGGCGACGTCGACGGCAACGTCTCTGCTATGATGGCGACCAAAGGCTGAGAACGCACTTTACATCGTTGGTGCTGCTGCTGTGGCTGCTGCCGTTTTTTGTCAATGTGTGAGAGCTTATAAAAAATTCACAGAAAATTCACGAAGAATATTGTATCAAGCGTTTTTCATAATGACTACATTTTCACTTTTAAAATTTTTTTTTTTTACTTTTAGACTGTGCTGCTAACAGGAGCAGCGACCGCACACATACAAGTTTTTTCTCTGATTAAAACGCGGGGGGTTGATTCCAACTGTCTTTTTCAGAGCGCACTATAGATTAAAATTAAGTTTCGCTTGATTTGTTGCAACTTTTTGGGCATGGCGTATTATATATGTATGCGTTTTGTCCATATTTCGTCTGCTAATTAAACAGTTTCTGCTTCAGCCATCAGCGAAACTCACACACGCACACGCATACACAGAGGGTAGAAGTGGAAGAAAAACTAAACTCACTGTCGTCATAGGTAATGGGGCCGAGCACGCTGATTGTATGCGTGCACTTGCCCAAAATATCTCATAGATCCACGCACACAGCACTTAATCAATTCTTTTTGGTATTTAATTGTTATATTTATTTTCCTTGGTACTGATCTTTTCTACTGCCTTTTCAACTGCACACGACGATGAAAATCAGTGTGGCTAACGCTTGTGTTCAATTAAATACCGGAGTGCTGCAACAGCACATACAGAAAATACCAAAGTCAATGTAAAGAGTAACTTAAATGGGGGAGTGAGTTTATGCTGTTAAGAGCGAAGACAAATATGAGGACTGTGTAAACGATTTTGAGTTGCTTACATGAGATATCTCTGTTAAGTGTGGAGTAGTGGCGTTATCTGGTGGAGTAAGTAATCAATAGAGACAATACTGTAAAATCTAGAGGCCCATTGGAATTTGTACATTAACAAACAACAGTCTGGCAACGCTCATCGCCAGACAGTGGCAACTTTAAAGCTTGAGATGTTAATAACAGACACTCGAAAAGGCTAACAACTATCATGCCTCTCGTACTAACCTACAGATTTTCTGATTTGCTGTTCGTGTCGCACAATTGCTAAGTCGAAAATCTGTGGCTGGTAAACACAGCTTTTCGTTCTAGTAAAATTAAACGAAAATTATCAAAAATACCCAGTCATTATTAATAGTGTATAATAAAAGCATAATCATTCCGTAGCAATTAGGGAACATCATCCAGACGAGCTGTTGCTGTTGCCGCCGCCGCCACCATCGACTCTCCGAAAAATGCCCGCAGTGCGCAAATATCGTCGCGAAACAAGTGAAATCAGTTGCTGCCTCAAATATTTGCTCTTTACCAGCAATGTAATCATCTGGCTGACCGCACTTGTGGTGCTCTCCGTTGGCATTTGGGCCTGGACCGAAAAGGATATGTTTCGCAATATTAGCAAGCTAACATTTATTGCCTTAGATCCCGCTTTTGTTCTAATCATACTGGGCACCATTACCTTTATGTTGGGTCTAATGGGCAGTGTGGGAGCACTGCGAGAAAATACCTGTCTGCTGAGCGCCGTAAGTTATACAAAATACTGCCTGCCCAATATGATACGATATATGTGTACGCATTATACATTATTTATTTACAGTATGCCATATTTCTGAGCGTTCTGCTGCTAAGTGAGATTGGTTTCTGCGGGCTCGCGTTTGTGCTCAAGGACAAAGGCTGGGTAAGTTGTTAGCATTTGTGCGTGGTATGCTGCATACTAATTAGTGGGTAAAGCTGAATTGAAGCTACTGAATGTAAACAAAGCATGTGCTTAATGCGTTGCTAAGCTGATTATATATCGAGCTTTTGTTTATTTGATTCAAAGCGTGTTTTTTTATTTATAGATTCATATATTGAAATATTAAAATGAATATGATGATGATATGAAAGTTGAGCTCAAATCATTTGGTTAATGAATTGGTATTGTTAGCTAATTCGCTTATTGTTTTGTTTGCGAAATAAAATTAGAAATATTTGAGGAGAAATTTTCTTTATGACATAAGGAGTAGCAGTTCCCCAAATGGAGCACCCTGAACTTTAATAGTAGCTAGCTGTGATAAATAAATAAATTTTTATCTTTAGATCAAGGATCAAGCTACTGAAGGTCTGCGAGCATTTATCAAGCACTATCGCGAGGATCCGGATCAACAGAATCTGATTGATTGGATACAGGAGGATTGGCTACAATGTTGCGGCATCGATGGGCCGAAGGACTGGGATAGCAATAACTATTTCAATTGCTCCTCGATTGCGATTGGCAGCCGCGAGGCATGTGGTGTGCCCTTCTCCTGCTGTCGCCGTCGACCGCAGGAGGTGATCAAGAACAAACAATGCGGCTACGATGTGCGCAAGGAGGGCTACGTAAGTTGACAGGCAAAACTAATATAGTTCAACAACAGATTTGCAGACTTTATTCATTTTAAATGCACGCATGCAGCCGGTGGATAGAAATATACATGAGCGCGGTTGCTTGCGCGCTGGAGAGGATTGGCTGGAGACGCATTTGATTGGCGTGGCTGCCACAGTGGTTGGCCTGCTCATCATGCAGGTGCTGAGCAAGAGTTACACAATATATAGATATATATTTAATATGATTTAATACTTATATCTATTTATATTCAAATGCTTATATTTTAAGTTGATTATTTTAGACAGTCAATAATCTGTTCAAGGATTATTTATTTATTATTTATTTACCATATTTTTATTTATATTATTTAATTCATATTTATTTGATGTTCAACCCATTTTATTATTTACAGAGTACGCCGCAGGGCACGGAGCTTTCTAAGATTATTTATGAGAAAGGCTGCGTTCAGGCTGGCGAAGAATGGATTGAGCATAATTTGATTATTATTTCCACGGTTGTCATTGGCATTATGTTCTTTCAGGTGTTTAGTTTTTGTTTATATTGTTTTGGATTGAACACATATCTTCATTAGTGAACGAATTTGCTTATAATATGTTTTGATATCTTACAGATTCTGGGCATTTGTTTTGCGCAAAATTTACGCGCTGATATCTATGCACAAAAATCAAAATGGCACTGACAAATGGCGCACGCTGCCCCCACAGCAATTTAGACAGGTAAGCGACGATCACAGAAAGCAAAAAGCAAACAGCAACAGCAATTAGCCACAATGGAACTTTAACTGCAAGAACTACAACAACTATAACTACAACTATGCATCATCTAAATCAACGCTTCGGTTAGTTACCTATACTATAAATACCTAACTATATATATATATGTATGACGATGTATATATATATATATATATGAGTGTCTACTAAACGCAAACGCATTCCGTCTTCATGGACATTGACTAAATATTAACTAGGTTGCCAAATTTTTTGCTGTTTTACGTAAGCTTCTTTTTTACCCTATAGAAAACATAACAAGAAAGCGCAAACACACAATTTTCTATACATTTTTACACAAAAAGACAAAAAACGATAAACGGGAATATATTATATATACATATATATATATATGAATGAAGAAGAGAAAAAGTATATTAACTCGAAATGCAGCTGTGATATATTTTTAGTAAATGTATAGAAATGAGAAAAATATTCAAATATATTTCAAAACGCAAATCCAATTTTCCAGAATGCAAAACTTCGGCAAACCGAAGCGAATATGCCCTAGCAGAGTTTATAATAATTTATAGGGTATCTGTTAACAAATTAAAGAATAATAATGCAACATTCCCAACCAAAATTCTACTGCAAGGGTATTTGATGAACACGAAATTTCTTTTCAAGTGTAAACAGCAAAAATCTATCCCTATAAAACCTATAAAAGCAAAATATATATTATATATATTGCAGTATTTTTTATAACACTAGAAAACTAAATAACAAAGAAATTTTATGTGGGGGCACTTGCAAAAAAATTAAATATAAAAAACAAGTAGTTTGCTGATTAGATTTTGGACGAGCTTAAATTGTACGCGCCGCATGCTGATTTTTGTAATCTGATATATAATAATGAATAATATATATATTTTTACATGATTCATTGCAAGTTTTTCCTAATTTGCAATCAACATTAACTATTGCCTAATAGATGTATATAAATATTTGTGAAAAACACCTGTCTTGTGTTCGTTATAAGTTTTTTCTTTTGTTTTCAAATAAGACTGCTGTGGAATTAGTCGAAACAATTTTTGCACAATGAAATAATATTGTTAACAAGTTGTCGCATACGTATATGTATAAAATAAAATATTTCTTTAATCCATGGGTTGTAATATACTATGTAAATCCACTTGATTTTAACTACGAATCGTATTCTCAGTATGACAACTGAGAATTATGTTTCAATAATATCTGTTAACATCATTGTAAATCCACTTAACTATAACTCTGTATTGTATTCTGTTTGATACCTGAGACTTTTATTATGTTTGAGAATATTTCGAATCTGTTAACATACCTCTTGTATTTCCCCTACTACAATACTGCCCTAAAGAAACAATAAGTAACATAAAAGAAACAAATTTATAATATAATATTTTGATATTAAAAGCAAAAAAGTATTAAATTTTCAAAAATATTTTTGAGAATCTCGAAAGCTAAATGTACTTAATACTCTACAAATAATTTTAAAAAATTACAAAAATATTGTAATGATGCACAAAAATAAATATTTTTACTAAGATCTAAAAATTGAATATAAATTAATATAAAATATAATTGAACAATAAAGCAGAATCTCCGTTTGCCAATGAACAAAAAATTTAGAAAAAACTTTTAAAACAAAAATTAAATTTAAATAAAAATTAAAAAAAAAAAATTTAAATTAAACTTAATTAAAAAAATATTGAAAGAAAAATTAATTAACAAGCAAACAAGGAAAATGAAAAGATATTCCTGAATAACGAAAGAGTCAATTGAAAAAAAAAAAACACGAGCTAAAATTATAATTTTTTATGAAACGTGAGTCAGTAAAAACAATTTTGAGTTAATTAAGCAATGTTTATTATATAAGAATAACAGCTAAGATTAGCAAATATTAAAAAAAGAAATGCTTGTCAAGGTTGTTGTTGCGACAGCGAAATCAATAACTGCTTCTAATAATAAAAAAAATGCTTGTAAATTATAATAATAAAAAATTAACAAAAGTATAAAAATGCTGTCTATTTCTGTGCCTCGCTGGACTCCCCATCCAGCTGAGCAACTGCATCGAATTGCACCGCCGGCAGCTCTGAGCCATTCGTGGTCTTATTGCAGCGTTGATACTCGAGCAGCACCAGAGAATTGGAGCCGACTTTGAGCAGCTCGTTGGGCACATAGAGCGTTATCTGGGGTCCGCCCAGAGGCCAATAGCGTCCCAAATTGAAGCCATTCACATAGGCCACGCCCTTGCCCCAGCCAGCCGTGTTCAGATAGGTGTCGCCCACCTCGGACACCTGGAAGCTGCCCGTATAGAGTATGGGTCCGGAGCGCAGCAGTCGCTGCTTGGCTATCGACGAGTCGAGGGCTGCATTTTCGGGCAACTTCTGGCGCCAGCTGTCAATGGTGATGGCCTCCAGTGGATAGCCGGTGGTTGTCCAATTCTCCAGCGGTAAGGCGCCGCCATTGTGCAGCTGCAGCGTCACTTTGCCAAAGATGCCTTTCGTGTCGTTGGCGCGATCAAAGTTAATGCGTCCCTGATTCTCGACGAGCAGCTGCAGCATGCTGCCCCAGCCCTTGCTCAGGGGCAGCGCATAGATGCGCGCCTCCCGGGACAGTGTGCCCACCAGCTGCTGATCGACAAAGACGTGGGCTCGATCACGTAAATCCTCCACCTGCAGCAGCGTTGGATCCAGATCCAAGCTGGGCAACGGTGTCTCGTACAGCAGTAGGCCCGAATACTGATCCAGTTCCTCAAAGGATTTGGGCTTCTCGGACTTGACGGGCGTGCCCTTGGACAGGGCAGCGCGTCCCTCCGCCGACAGCAGCTCCATTGCGGGTGTCAGCTCCACTTTGCCATATGCCAAGCGCTTGGCGGGATTTAGCATAATGTTGGGCAGATCCAGTACCTCGCCTATCACTTGTTTGACTAGCTCATACTTTTTGGTAACTCCGCCCGCCTCATCCATAACCGCATCGTAGTCATAGCTGGTGATGTCCGCCGTATAGCCAATGCTGCCATCTAGATCGTAATTGGCGCCGGCTGTAAAGCCGAAATTTGTGCCGCCAAAGAACATATAGAGATTGACGCTGGCATTGTAGCTGAGTATGGTTCTGAAAGGTAGAAGTTGAATATTATTAAATTATTCTGATTCTAATATATTTTGTTTGCTTAAGGGTACTTTAAGGCGCTGGCCACTTCTTGCGGATCGCGTCGCTGGTTCATCTCCTGCCAGTGGGTGAGCCAGCCTGGATAGAACTCCGAATTGACTAAGGGCCCAGTAGGCTGTACGCTGCGCAGATATTTCCAGATTTGATCAATCTCATGAACTGCATAAGATAGTGTAGAGAGTAGTAGAGTATAAGAGAGTGTAAATTCGAGTAGAGTTTAAGAGATTGGTAGAGTGTACGAGGGAGTAAATAAAAGAGAGCATAGGAGAGTGTAGAGTGAAGGGGAGTAGAGAAAAGTGTAGAAAATATAAGGGTATAAGAGAGTATACGAGTATAAGAGAATGTAGAGTGAAGTAGAATATAAGAGAGTGTAGAGTGAAGGGCAGTAAAAGAGTGTAAGAGGGTTACTCCTTCTTTTCAGAAATATTGTATTAGGTAATTGAGCATTTCTGTAATCTCAATTTAGTATTTAACTGTCTTCATTCACTTCATCACTAGCCGATTTCAAATAGCTCTCATACATATGTATATCTCAAATTTATTCTACTCACTGCGATCGATGCCAAAGTCCGTGGTGGCAAATACGTTGTCAATCTTGCCGCAGTGCATCCGCTCATTTGGAATGTCCACAGTGAACAGCAGCGCTTTATTTTCCACGTATTTATCAGTCTCGTCGCGCAACCAATTCAGATAATCATGATCGCAGGCATAGTATGCCGCATATTCATTCTCGACCTGCACCATTATGATCTTGCCACCGTTGCCGATAAGCAAGTGCTTCAGGCGTGGCATTAGCTGTGCATACCATTTGCTGACCTCGGCTATATATCTGGGATCATTTGTGCGCACTTTGATGTCCGGATATTTGGTGAACAGCCAGTGGGGTAGACCGCCCTGTGTTGTGTGTTAAGATTAACATTCGTCAATGTAATTTATTATTAATAAAATTTACGCTACTTACGTTATCGCGCTCAGCACAGATATATGGACCGGGACGCAGCACTATGTAAAAGTCCTCTTCTTGGGCTATTTCCAGAAATTTCACCAAATCGGCTATGCCCTCCCAATTGTATTCGCCATCGTGTGGATTATGCAGCGACCACTCAACGTAGCTGTTGGAGCGGAAAGATAAAAAGATAGAGATTACAAATAGGTGTTCATTAAATTACATAATGATATTTCTCAGCTAGCTCTAATTTATCAAATATTTTCATAATTATTAATTACTAAAATATAAAAGTTTAAGTCGATATTACTATTTCCTTCTAATTTTCTATATCAAACAACTCTGCTTAGGTTTTCCGGTGGTCGGTTATATATATTAGAATATAATCAGAGCTCCACATCTTCAGGCTTGCTTTATATTAATTTTTCTTTTTAAATCTCCGTCTTGAGAATGTTTTTTTTTTTCGCAATTGAATTTATGAATGTATCACAGTTTTATCAGCTTCTAAAAGCCGCAAACTTATCAGAGCTGTAAGACCCATTGGCAATGTTGATTCATAAAGTAAAGTTTGCCTTGCGGTTGCTCAAACCGTGACACAGTCACGTCCTACGGCTTACACAACCTATCCTATCCATATATCAGCAGCTACTCACGTATCCAATGCATTGAGACCAGCTGCACGCATGGTGCGCAGACGATTACGCCAAGCCTCGGGCAGAGCCCGGAAATAATGAAATGAGCCGGCGACATAACGAAATGGTTTGCCATTCAAGAGGAAAGTATTTGCCTGGTGATCTATGCTGAAAGCAGGTGTCTCCTCTGTCTGAAAACATATACATAAATATTCACAATAATTAAGGAATTTTTACCCAAAGTTAATCAAACTTTTGTTTTTGTACCCTGAACCCATTGCAAATGGGGAAATTGGGCATACTGGTTTTGTGAAAATGTGTGTAACATGTAGAAGCAACTGTAGCAGATCTCATAAAGTATATACATATCATGTACATAAATTCTGGATCAGGGCGAGCTGAATCGATATAGCTGTATCAGTCTGCCTGTATGTCCGTTCTTCTGCCTGAAAGCCACATAAGACTATAAATGGTATATGCGTGTATATCATAAGCAATATGAGCTTATTAAGTTTGTCCAATAACTCATCCCATTTCGTGTTTATCGATAATAACCGTTTTTTTTACTTTGTTTTTAAAGGAAATTGGAATACTGTTAGATCAGGAGATTCCCGATTTATTTTTTAGACTTTGGATTCCACGCCGCCTTTGCCACAAATTCAAAAGAAACAACTTATTCCAAATACTAGAGACTCGCGGTTTGACAGGTGGTGGTAAAGATCTACAGGGCGGATTTGTTTAACAAATAGGCGCGTCTTTATGCTCCAAAAATGTTGTGAAATGATTGGCATGTCCGCTCTTTGTAACGTTCTTAGGATCTCCAACCCAAGCAGTTTTTATACTCTTAAACTCTTGTTGATTTTTCATAGCTCACCTCTGTGACGTCATTGCTGCCGCTGAGCCCCACACAGAGGCCGACCGTCAGTGCGATCACCAAAATTATAAAGCCGCCGCTCATGGCCAACGTTAGCTTGCGATTGCAGCGAAAGCCGCCACTGCCGCCGCTCATACTCGATTAACAGGTGCTCGCTAGAGCTTTTGATGGGTTTACAAGTTTCGCTCGGATACCTCTGAAGCTTTTCACTAAGTTCAAGAGATTCGCGTTGAAGAGTTAGTTTTAAATAAGCTATTCAAAATAACAACCGCTTAGCTGCCCTGTTGGTTCGGCAATGTCAATGGGTTCTCTGGCACTTTAATCGTTCACTTCATGATACATAAATAAGTGTATTATTATTCTCGTGTTTTGTGATAAGTCTGGTCGGCTGTGGAGTGGCTGCTGATAGAGCTAGTGTGGGGCTCAAGTGGAAGTGCACAAATTGTTTGCCATTTCGCAAGACGAGTGAGCTGTGTCCATTATCGTTATTCGGGCATTAGTTCAAGTACTTATAAATAAGCATATCTGGAGCGTTTTAATGAAATCTAAGCGATAATCCCTATCTATCGAATCTGTTTAGATTGCACCTCAACTACTATATGATTATTTAGTATTGAGCTAATTAATCCATTTGAAGTGTTTCTAAATTATTTTTTACTACATTTTACTCTCAATTGTTATTTTTTAATTTAAAAAAAAAATTGTATATAAATGTAATAATATATATATTGTATTGCTCTTACTCTTACAAACATATAAAACCCTTATCGTCATTTGTTTTCCTTTATTTTCTTTATTATAGTTTACCGCACTATCACTTATAAAATTGCAAAAAATTATATTATAATTATATTTAGTATACGGTTTACACTTGTATGTATGTATGCTATTATTATATGTATGCATTTGATTAACTGTATATTGTCGGATCTATAGTATGTGTATATAATACTTTAATTAGTTGGATTATATGTGTCTTTTAAGTACTAGACTATAAATGCCTTTGGTAGTGTGCTTCAATATTCATCGGTTAATGCCAACTCTCTTAGAGAGTCAGCATGACTATCTTAGGTGTAAATACATTTTGATTAATTCCAGCATGAAAATGTTGTTTTTGGTTTTTTTTTTTTTAATAAATGTTTTAACAATACTAATTAGTTTCCTTGGCTTAACTAAATTTTAAATATTTGTTTTTGTTTGTTTTTATAAATTATTTGAACTGTAACAAAAGCGCTTCTATTTTTTGTTTGTATATAAAATTATACACACATAGGCTGAGGTAGAAACAGCACAAAATTACAGAGAATCGGATAAAATTGTGGGATAGCTGCGAAGTAGAAGGACTAAGAGACTAGTATAAGACTTGCATAAGTATTTAGGTTTTTGATTGTGTGAAGAAATATCTTAGCTTACAAACTAGAGTCCATATAATATCGTTGTTTACTCATTTGGGTTTCTATGCAACTAAGCGCTGACGCTACAAAATTTATCGGCCATCAGTGTTAGCACCTTCTCAAGTTTTCCATGCCGATCCTCTGGTTTGGCCGTGGCACCTGAACTGCCCCACAGGAACTTGACGTGAAATTCAGTGCTGCATTACGACAAATTATGTGATTAGCTAAAGTGATTTAATTCCAGTAGAATTTATATTTACCGAAAAGCATCCGCCAGCAGTTCATCCAATCTTGTGCTTGCTTCTTCCATTATAATCTTAGCATTCTTGCGATACAGATCCAAGTTCTTAAGAAAGCCACGTGATGCATCCAAATGTTGAAAATTGATGGTCATGCCGAAATCGTCTGCCTTCGATTCCCAGGGCGCAATGCAGGTATTATAGAGCGCCGGACGCTCATCCACATTGCTATGATCGATAATATCTAAAATGGGCCTATCGATGAGCAGCGCGTAGAGCAGAACATGGGGCACTGTTGTGTTTGGCGCTTGCGGATTGGAGGCTTCGTTCATGCTGCTCAAAGTGGGTCGCAGCTTGGCCTCAAATGTGAAGGCGCTGTCCGTGTATTTTTGGCGCAGAATGTGCCAGGCCTGGTCCAGTTTTTGTATCTAAAATTGAAATTGTTTAAATGTAAACCATAGCATTATTAATCTTCATACAACTCACCTGCTGCATGCACAGCCCCAACATAATGGCACAGAATCCAAACAGATTGCCCAGCGCTGTTTTTGTTTCCACCGCAATTTGTATCCACTTGCTGAGTAGCTCGGCGCGATCCAGATCAGTTTGACAGGTCAGTATGGTCACGGCAACCATCAGTTTAATGCACTGCGTTCGCTCAATGATGTCCTCGCGAAACACTTTGCCATGCGGCAGGGTCAGCAGCTCCAGACCGGAACAGCTTAAATAGCAATCTGGATCACTAGCAGGCTCATCCAGAAATAGGCCTACATCGATGCGTGTAATGTGCTCGGCCAGTAGCTTGGGACCCGTTTCCAGCAGCATCATCTTGAATGTGTTCAACGCATCTCCATCCAGTGGCTTATTCTCCACTGAAGGCAACAGCA